AAAACGAAACAGCCAGGCTTGGAGGCTGTTGTCCATGCGGACAAAGGTCAGGTTCCTGCTCGTCTCCCTTCGCTGACCAGTGGAGAGGCCCTGAGACCCAGCTCGGGGCCCCGCCCCCCGATGGTGCTGCCTGGAGCAGCAGCCACATTCGGTGAGAGATTCCCAGCAGAACGGAAGCCCACAGCAAGTCTGGCGCAAAGAGCTCCATCCTAATTTCTGCAACTTCTTGTGGTCTGAGATTTTCAAATAGAACATGTTTTAAGTGAATAAAAAAGATATTTTAATGAGACCAAAGACACGTGGGTGAGCCGGCGAGTTTCGGATAAGGGTGGGATCCCGGGCAGACCCTCTCCTGTCCACCCCGCACTGTCCCCACGGGTCTAAGCTGACGGTTTCTGCCGGTCCGTTTCCCACACACTCAGCCTCCGTGGACTCATGGGCTCACGCCCGTGGACGAGTCTCACCCACAGAGCTTCACAGACCACCCTCCTCGGCCCGAGGCCTCGTTTCACCAGGGCCTCCCGTGTGCGTCAATGCTCACTCCTCACCGTGAGGTTTCGCTAAAAGGATGCACAGCCCTCCGCTTTTCCCGAGACACCATGTCCTGACCACAAAGCTCTTCATTTGAACAGACACTGAAAGCACCTTATTTCTCCAAATACGACTCAGGGCTTAAATATCAGAGCTGAAGACGGGAGGAGAGTGGAAGGGAAAAGGGTTTTAGCAGACATGAGCCTGTCCCTGGTACTCCCAACTCCTGCTCTCATTTCCTCCTTGTGACCTTTAGGGAACATTATTCTTATGGAAAATCAAGCACAGGAAGCATCAGGAAGAGCCAGGAGCACAAAGACTCAAATTCCAGCATCTAAATGGTTACACAGGGTGAGCACAACAGGCTGACAGTTGTTCGTTTGGAAAATAATACAAGAATGAACTGTCTCGCACACTCACAACTGTTAGCCTACTCTGCCCAGCCCGTGTTTTATAGCAGACGGGGCCCAACCCGGGGTTTCTGGGCCTGGACACGCGGGCTTCTCTCACACCAGCTTCAGCGCTGTCCGTTTACAGTACTTCCTCCTGTTCCAGCCCGATAAGTCATCTCAGAAGCACTCCTCTACGTCGATCACATGCTTTATCAAGTTATCAGGGAATTGGTTTCCTTGCTTTTTAAAAAATGTCGTAACTTCTCTAGAACATTATGAAGCCTGTACTACGTTCCACAGAAGTTAGCACATCTACTGCTGCGGAGGAAACACTACCCCGAACCCCCCACTTCTTGGACTAGGTGTTTCTGACTCAATTCCTCAACTTGGATGGACTTCTAGAAGCGTCTTAAGTAACAAGTTCACCTCCAGTTCCCCTTGCTAATCGGCCTATTGCGTGCGTGGCTGCAAGAGAGACAAGCCCGCTCCTTACTTCACAACGTTGCTCAACCACCCGAGTTACAAGCGGGGAGGTGCCCCAGCCTTTTGAGGGCATGTGGGAGGGGCTCATCGCCAATCACCCCTTTGTCAGACAGTGATGCCAGGCCGGTCTCTCGGCCCAATCTCGGCAACCCGATTGTTGGTACGTGAAAATACTGACCCTCATGACCAAGCAAAAGGGATGCACTTCATCAAAAGAGAACTTGGGAGCTCCGTGCAGCGCTGAGAACCTGTCTGCCACCTCACACACCAGAGTGGAACCGAGTCAGCGAGAGCCTCAACACCCATTAGAGCAGGACTGGGTTTTCCCAAAGCACAAAGGGCTCACAAAAAACACCTCTTTCCATTTCTATTTGTACGATCGCATTTTCCAATCTAACTCAGATCGGTCGGAAGGAATAATGAGATGCCAACATATTTAGTTTGCATCTAAGCTTATCCATTAAAATAGATTTATCTGCACCATTTCCCTTAAATTGCAATCGCGTCCTGGTTTTACAGCAATTTTCTGTATTTTGTGAAATTATGTTTCCGGCAGCTTATCATGCATTTGCGCTGAGGCGCTGCACTGGGTCAGAGGGTATGCACGGCCAGCCAGGCTGTTTCTCCCGACGTGAGTCACCCTCACCTGTCCCCCACCCTCCGGGAAAGTGGGTTCATCAGGTCTGTGGTCACAGACGGAGCGTCCTGCATGTGTCACCTGCTCAGATTCCTTTGTAAATGGGTTTCTGGCCACCCCGCTTCCTAAAATGAAGATGAAATCTGTGCGTACCTCACAGCTACTGTTTAAAGCAATTTGACAGCTTTGCTCAATCTGGAGTCGGATGAGTGACTGTTGGCTAAGGATTCTGATGAGAGGTTTGCTTCATTTTTTAGAGATTTATTTAGCATTTGGTCATTGTCTTTCCAGCCCCGTGTCCACGTGGAAGGCATGCTTTCTGAGGAATTTACTGCTGGGGCTTTTAATGCCTACCCCTAGCCCCTCTATCACCTGCTAACAACCCTATTGGCACCAAAACAAAATACACAAACAGCCACTGCTTAATTACTCATGTTCCATACTTGAAAAATACTATTTCATTGAGTCTTTAAAAATTACAAAGAGTGCATTGTTGCTGGAAACAGTCACAACACCGACACTGCACGTGAGTCCAGGGAGGGGTCCCAGCTCCCCTCGCTCCGGGCAGCAGCGGGGAGTGTCCGGGAGCTGCCTGTGGACGTGCAAGCAGCCTCGTCCCTGAACAGGAGCCGGCTCTCTCCTCGGGATGCAATGCACGTCATCCACGAGGTTTAAAACCATTTCGTGAACCCCATCAACAGGCTAACAATCCTCCGTGGTCGCATATTCAGGTTGTGTGTTTTCTCACATCTTAAATGTTTCAATGACCTGATCTGTGTGGCACTGACATCAAGAAGAGAAACATCTTTTGGCAGATACGACCCCACTCCTTCCAGAAAGGCTGGGCACACCACTCTCTCCCACCAGGTGTGGCCATGGCCCACGCTCCGAATCCTACTGTGAACTCCCAACATTATCACACTTTTCTGGTGCTTTAATAATTTCTAGTGTTTAATTTCACATTTTGATGCTTTTGGCTCCATGTTGAAAGGTGAATGACTGGTAGGAAAGATAGCGAAAGATCAATGACTAGGCAGTCAACATATTTTCGTTTACAGTAAACAAAGGTTACACAGCCCAACGTCCTGCCCTAACTACACTCCCAAGACGGACTCCGTGAGGCCATCCCCACGACAGTCCGAGGGGCCGTGTCAGGGAAGATGCTGCCGATGACGCTAACATGGGAAACGGTGAAAAATGAGGCTACAGAAGAGAAAGCTGCACAAACACCGGGAGGAACTGCTCCCAGCTGTTCACGGTGCTTCCCCAAAGGGGCGGCAGCAGCCACTCTTTCCTTCCTCTGCTCACCTCCACTGGGTGGCGCTTCCACAACGAACACGCATTATTTATACAGCAGAATGCGCCATCACAGAAAGCTGCAAACGCTTATTTTTTGAAAGATACCAATTCTCCAGGCTGCCACCTAGTGTCAAGTATGTATTGTTAGACAACACCTGCCCCCTAGGAAACCATTCCCCTTCAGTCCTGTGGCACACCTGCTCTCAGACCACACTCTGCTCTTCCTGAATGTTTCATTAGCTGGTCCTGCGAAGAGAAGAAAACAGTAAGAGCTCACAAACTGAAGTAAACACTGGCACTGTCCCTCCAGTGTTTGGTGAGATCTTACATCTTAAACAACAGTGAGCCATGCTCTGTCTCGAACGTAAACCACAGACTAGCAACAAAAGATCCGTGTAAATCACACAGCCTTGTTCACAAGTAGGACTCAGAGCTTCAATCTGGGCTCACTATTCATCCCATTGCACAGCTTATAAAGAAGGACTTTAGAAACAAGACAAGATCCCTCGCGTTGGGTATGACTAGGTGTACACATCAGGGAACAACTGGAAGAAAATCAAGCTACTAGCCACACAGGCTGTCAATTGCAATTGCTTCATCTGCGGTTCGGGATTCAGGACACACACTCCCAGGACCACGGATGAAGCCCCAGGTTCCTGAGCTCTAGGCCGGGAAAGGCTGTGCCACACAGACACCCCTTTAACTGTAAGGGTCCTGCTTACTTCCCACAACCGAAGGTTCTGTTCCAGTTTTCATAAAGCTCTAGGTCTGTGGGAGACACGCTGGGCCGCACAGTTCTGAACGCATTGTCGAAGTCCACGTAAGCTATGGGTGGGACCTGGTCCGCCGTTATGGTGGCGATGTCGGTGGCCTGTAAGCTGCGAATGGGGCCGAGGGACGCCTCTCGGCACAGCTGCGTCATGTCAGCGCCCGAGAAGCCTGCCGACCGCTGCACCACCAGCTCGATCTCCTCCTCGCGGAGGCTGCACTGCTCCCTGGACATCAGGCGCGTCACTATCTGCTTCCGGGCTGAGGCCTCCGGGAGGGGGATGTAGAGCCTTTTCACCAACCTCCTCCGGGCAGCCTCGTCGATTTCCTGAGGCCGATTGGTTGCTCCCACGACTAGAATGCGATCTTCAGAAGACGTGGTGGCTCCGTCCAGCTGAACCAGGAACTCGGTCTTGATCCTCCTAGAAGACTCGTGCTCCCCATCTGCCCGCTGGGATAACAGGGAGTCGATTTCATCAATGAATATCACAGCGGGCTGCTGGCACCGCGCAACCGCGAACAACGCGCGGACCATCTTCTCCCCCTCGCCCACCCACTTGGAGGTCAAGGAGGAGGCCGAGATACTGAAGAAGGTGGCCCCAGACTGACTGGCGATGCACTTGCCAATCAGGGTTTTCCCAGTCCCAGGAGGCCCGAAGAGCAGAATCCCCTTGGGCGGGCCCCGCAAGCCCGTGAAGATGTCGGGCCGCAGCATGGGCCACACGACGATCTCCTTTATGGTGGCCTTGGCGAACTCCACCCCCGCGATGTCGTCCCAGGTCACCGGGGGCCCATGGTCCATAATCTCACTCATAATCAGTTCGATCATCTTGGGCTCCAAGCTCTTCAAACGCTCATCCACGGGGGGCGCTGGCTCTGAGGGCCCGGCACTGTCAGGCTTGTACTGCACCCCCCCACGTGCATCCCCATCTGGCTTAGGTACAGGAGGGACAAACTTCCCAAAAATTCCTCGGGATCGACTGGCGCCCAGGGACTTCTTGACGCCGCCGCCATAGGAAGGCGCTGCCGCCCGGGCAGGCGGGTGGTGCTTTTTCTGCTGCTCCACCCATAGCTGCTCCTTTGCGGTTTTAAAGGTTGGCAGGCCGCCTTCCTCCCGGTGGCCATTCCCCTCCATTTTCCTAAGAGCCTCACTCAGGGTCGGGGCAGAAAGGGCTTCGGCGGGGCCTGAGCTGTAGAAAGCGCTCCTGTCCCAGGGGCCTTCGCCGCCGGCAGGAGAGCGAGGCTGACGGGGTAAGAACAGACTCGGTCCCGGGCTGGCTTTCGGAGCGCTGCTATTTTCCTTCCTGACATTTCCAAATAACGGGGTGGCTAAGTCACCAAAGGGTGCTGAGAACATGGGACACGTCTTGGGGGTGTTAGTCGCCACAGGGGGCTGGGCACTCAGAGAGCCCGAGGGACCGCTCTCTGGGACGTCCGGGGCCCAGCCTGTACGGTGAGCTGGCTTAGTCAGTGGGTCGCTCTCCCGAGAACCACCACAAAGGCTAGACTTCGGAGGATCGGGGACCACGGCCCCCCCATGGATCACGACGGAAGCATCGGCAGGGACCAGCAGGGAGCCTCGGAGCTTCTCGCCAGCCCGCATCATCTCCTGCACACTGCGCATCTGGAAGACATTACTCAGCGACAGACCCGACTGCCACTTGTCACTGTCCGTCTGCTGCGCTCTTGCTAACGTTAAAACGCTTTCCGCATAGTTATTCAAGCCCGTTTCCACGTTGTCAGAATCAATGATTGCCGAGTATTTCTCTGCATATTTCTTGAACAGTTTGGAAGCACAGACCTGGGAGATCTCGGAGTTGGCCCACGCATACTGAACGCGCAGCACCTGTGCCCGGTAGGCCTCTGCCTTCTGCTCGGCCGTGCACGTGCCAGACGTAACTGCAAAGTAGTTCCTCTGCCATTCGCTCAGGTGCACAGCCCTGGAGCTCGGGGCCTGCATTTTACAGGTCCTACAACAGAGACAAAGGGAAGCGTCAGGAGGAACTAAAAGAAGGAGCAGGTGGACTCTTAAGTCTCTGCTCATCTGAGAGAAGGGACACTGGACCTTTCGTTTATAAAGTAAATTTCAAGCATTTAAGATATAAAGACCTGACCTAATAGAGCTGCTGAACTATTTTAGTAATAACTTTCCGCACAAATAGGGAAAGCATTCATAAGGAAAGGATTTAAAATTAATCTGCAAAAGGAAGGCGCCACGGAAGGAGCTACAAACAGCAAAACAAACCAAGCCTGGGGTGGAAGTCGTCTCCGAGGAAAAAGCACAGGAATGATCTCAAGCCTCTTATTACCGCCGAGCCTTAGGGTTCATCTGTAAAGTGAGAGAAATCACTGAGCGCCAAGTCACTCCTCGAACATAGAAATGCTTTCCTAAAGCTGTCACCAGCCCTTCGGCACACGTAGGCGCCGAGGCTGGGATGTGAAGGAGCCCGAGACCAGAGCGTCAGCACTGGGGCCGGAACCGCACGAGAGCTCACTCCAGGCAGCTGCACGTTGGGTCCGTGTGCAAACACCCTCGGGGCTACCGCCAAAGGGCAGAGCGGCAGCGCTTGCTCACTCCAGGCAGCTGCACAGCGGGTCCCATGTGCAAATGCCCAAAGGGCAGAGCGGCTAGATCAGGAATAGGAACTGCTGGCTCACTACGTGTTCGAAAGGCCGTATTCGGGAATGAGCACTTCACACATGAACCCCGAGGCTCTCACCGTTTCCCGATTTCACCTGAAGCATTAAAAAGCGAAACCTTCGTGATACAGGAGCCACAAGGAGGACACAATCTGCTGTCAAGTACCTATATTTTAGATTTCTTCCCTCAGGTTATCCTTATCAGCCTCCATGCATTAAGGTAAAATTACTTTAATACAATTACAGATGAACATAGCCTGGGGCTGGATGTGGAACTTACCTGCCAACCCACAAGGAAAATGTGTAAGAAGCTTTGAAGTTTCCGAACAGCACTGCATAAAGGAAAAACCAAGAACTTGTGTATTTTGAAATTTACCGTCTGAGTTACTTGTGAATACAGCTTAAGGATCATGTTTTATAGTGTGCACCTCCCATAATACCTTACAAAGAACCTGTTGCACTGTAGACAGGTGTTCGTGAATCTTCGCTAAAAACAGTAAACGTAAGCCCTGGCTGGTGTGGCTCAGCGACAGAGCACCAGCCTGCACACCAGAGGGCTGCGAGTTCGACTCCCGGGCCGGGGCACGCACCTGGGCTGCAAGCTTGTTTCCCGCCCGGGGCCCCAGCCCAGTCAGGGCGCATGCCGGAGGCGACCAATGGATCTCTCTCTCCCTCCCACCTTTCCACTCTCTCTAAAAATCAACGGGGGAAAATATCCTCTGGTGAGGATTAAAAATAAAAATAAACTTAAGACTCAAGGAGATTCTAATTTGCTTAAAGCTCTTAAGGCTAAAGAGTCAAAACGAGAACGGACAGGTCCCGACCACCCCGCGCCCCACACCCTTTAACTTATTTTAACCTCTTTTGTGCCGCACTGGGAATGGGAGACTGAAGGAGGGGAGTTGGCGCAGGTTTAGCACAAACCCCTCTCGCTGGGGACAGCCCTGCCACCTGCAGCCCTGGGACTCCGCACAGCCGGGTGCCCGCTGCGCCCACACCCCTTTCCGCTCCGCATCCCCGAGCTCCCAGCATTCACCGCGGAATCCCACTTCCTCCTTGGAACTCAGTGGCTCGTCCAGCTCCCCGGACGCGGCGGACACAGCTGCGGGCCGGCACTGCTCGCTGGCTCGGCCACTGTCCGTTCCCACGGATTCCGAGTCCCCGGCATCCTTCCGGCGTCCCTGGACCTAACGGGGACGCTCGCTCAGCGCTCATGGGCACCGCGTGCCCCTCTTTCCCCACCTGGAAGAGTCCCTAGGCCAGTGGTCGGCAAACTCATTAGCCAACAGAGCCAAATACCAACAGGACAACGACTGAAATTTCCTTTGAGAGCCAAATTCTTTAAACTTAAACTCTATAGGTAGGTACATTGTCATTAACTTAATCAGGGTACTCCTAAGCTGGCCTTTGCTAAAAACGTCCTCAATCTGATGGAGGCACGTTCGCTGAGGTCCACCCCTTCCACCTCTCCCATCCACACTCGCCTTGTAGACTTGTTTCGTCTACGTATCTCCTTCCGTTCATCCTCTGTATGTCCAAACCATCGCAACATACCTTTCTCCATCCTCCACACTACATCTTTCACTCCACAACGTTCCCTAAAATTAACTTAATAAACTTTACTTAAAGTTTTAAGTCTTAGTTGAACTATAGGTACGTTGAATAAAACTTGATATCATACTTAATAACAATATTATTTACTGATAAAGTTAAATTCCTTACAATCTACCTTACGATATCCATAAAATTAAATCACGACAATGACTGGCCCAGGCCGAAAACCGACTTCTGCGCATGGGCCACGAAGTTTCGCCCGCACGTGGTATTTCGTGGAAGAGCCACACTCAAGGGGCCAAAGAGCCGCATGTGGCTCGCGAGCCGCGGTTTGCCGATCACGGCCCTATGGTAAGGTGTGCTCTCTCGCTGCAGGGGCCTCCGCAGGTCAGACCTGCCCCTGCCGTCTCCCCGCCTCGGGGTGGGCATCCCGGGCGGGAGCTGCGCAGACGCGTGCGGACCCTGCAGAACCTTCCAGACCCCGAG